GAGAGAGAGAGAGAGAGAGAGAGAGAGAGAGAAAGAGAAAGATTAGGAAATGGAAAAAAAATTGTTAAAAAAAATTACCACAAAAATTAAAATACTTCTATAATTTCTAAACTAATTAAACTTAAGTTTGCAAGAAAAAAATACCAAATTAAAGAGATCTTTTTTTCTTTTTTTTTATTCTATTCTTTACTCCAATATCAATATTAAATTTTTCTGATTTTAAAATTAAGTATCATTGAAATGAATGAATAAACCATAAGAAATTAGGAGCTTATCATTTTACTGATATCATCCACAATCATGAAGTTCTTTTTTTTTCCTTGAATATAACGTCATTTAATTATGATTAGTTTTAAAATAAATAATATTATATGGATTTAGAATGATAAACTATGATGTTTGTACTGATAGTGTCATTGATTTTAGTCTTTTTTTTCTTTTTTTTTTATTTATCGTTCACACTATTAATATTCATTAATACATTTGTCTGGGGATGGTATGGAACATTGATGGAAGAAGGAAGAAAGCGCAGAACAGAAGATGACCGTTCCTTCTAATCCAGATTCTTCCTTCCATCGTCCACTTTCTTCCTCCTTTTCCTATTCTTCCTGTGATTTGGTCTGAATCGCTTGTTATGCTTTTAATAAAAAAAAAAAAAAAAAAAAAAATTCTGAAAAACTAATTTGCTTATTTGTCGGCATGATCATCACAGATGGCTAAACCCATTTTGGAATGTGCTGTTATGTTGTTAGGTTGATTCATAACATATTCATTCAAATACAAACGGGTAATGCTGTGTGATGTTGAATTTTATCATCTTTTAAGTTATTATTTTATTATCAAATTTAACTTTTAGATAATTTATCATTAATTAATATTGAAAAAGAAGTCAACTTAAAGATTCTTACGTGAACAATCCTTTAAGACATTTGTGTCTTTGTCCTGTATCATAAGCTTTCCGTCAACTATTAAAACAGAATGTCCAGAATGTTCGATTACTTTAAAATCCAGTTACCTAGAATGTTTAGTTACCTTAGAACTTAGTTATCCAGAAATATTCAATTACTTTAAAATTTATTTACCCAGAATGCTCAATTACCTTAAAGTATGCTTCTTTTTTTTCGCAGACTATCTGTAGCTACTACAAGATTTTTAGTATAATTTTGCCATTCTGTTAAATAATATTAGGTCATTTTTAGGAAAATATCAATTCAATTTCTTCACCATTTGTTGAAATTAAGCTATTCATTATTTACTATTATTATTATTATTATTATTATTATTATTATTATTATTATTATTATTATTATTATTATTATTATTATTATTATTATTATTATTATTATTATTATTATTA